CAGAAAGAATATATGTATACCTATGTTCATAGCAGCACTATTTACAACTGCTAAGATCTGGAAATAGCCCAAGTGTCCATCAATAGATGAATGGATAAAAAAGCTGTGGTACCTACACATAATGGAATACGATGCATCTGTAAGATTTCTTATCATTTGAGATGACATGGAGGGATCCGGAGAGTATTATCCTAAGCGAAACAAGCCAATCAGAGAAAGACAAATATCACATGATATCACTTATTTGTGGAATATAATGAACAAAACAAACTGATGAACAAAACAGACCCACAGACAGAGAAGTAGGGCACAGACTGACAAATCTTACAAGAGAGGTTGGGGGGAGGGAAGAGATAAACCACAGAACTTATATGAATGTATACATATCCAATGGACATAGACGACAATGCTCGTGACTGGGGGTGCTGGCAAGAGTGTGAAAAAAAAAGGGTACTCTAGTATACTGCTGGTTGGAAAGCAGACTGGTGCAGCCATTATGGGAAATCGGGAGGAGGGTGTCAATGGAGCAAAAAGGAGAAACATCTGTAACAAAAACAAATCAATAAAAAATAAAAATAAAAAAACAATAAAAATACATTTTTTAAAAAAGCATTAGACAAAATTCAACAGAGACAATACTGGAGTGATGGCTAGAGTGGGGGCAGGACTAGGTGGAGTGGATAAAGGGGTGTGAAACGGGAGATACATCTGTAATAGTGTCAAGAATAAATAAAATTTTTAAAAAGCAACAATAAAAATATTAGCTTCTGATTACTTCTGGTCAAGATGGCGGCATAAGTAAATGCGGTATTGCCTCCTCTTACAACCACATCAAAATTACAACTAAAGTACAACACAACCATCATTCAGAACCACCAGAAATCGAGCGGAATGGAAGTCCTACAACTATTTAATTAAAGAGGCCACATCAAGACTGGTAGGAGGGGTGAAGGCTTGGACCGAATGGTCCCACACACATGTGTGGTGGATAAAAATCAGGAGGAACACCTCAGCTGGGAAGGTCCTCCATGAACAGTGAGGGGTCCCTGTCCCACACCAGGTGCCCATGCCAGGGTTCCAGTGTCAGGAAGAGAAGTCCCCATAACTTCTGGCTGTAAAAACCAGCAGGGACTGAGGCTAAGGGAAGCTGCGGCTACTGGATCCACAGGCAGTTCCTCTTAAAGGGCCCCCAGATGGACTTACTCGGACTTGCTCCCTCTAAGCTCGGAAGGGAGGCAGGTTGAGGGTGGCCAGAGACATACAGGGAGGAACTGAGTATTTGGCCTCAGGATGAGGACTGGAGAGGCGGCTTTTTCCTGGACAGACGTGTTGGCAAAGGCTAACGTTCCTTTGGTGAGCCCTTCCCTGGGGAAGGCAGACAGCCTCCATATCTGGGACTCCAGCAACATGGCTCACACTGTTTTCCCCACCCTGGTGATTCCCTGAGGCCCTGCCCAACTAAACTTTCAGGCCCACCCACACTATTTCCAAAGGCTTTACCATAGGATTTGCCTGTCTTAGATCCTGCATCATCATCAAAATCCCAAAGGTTATAGACAAAGAGAAATCTTAAAAGCAGCATGAGAAAAACAGCTAGTTACCTACAGCAGCACTCCCATAAGACTGTCAGCTGATTTCTCAAAAGAAACTTTGCAGGTCAGAAATGATTGGCAAGAGATATTCAAGGTGATGAAAAGCAATGACTTACAACCTAGATTACTCTGTCCTGCAAAGCTTTCATTTAGGATTGATGGACATATCAAGAGTTTCCTAAAATCTCTCAAACAAACAGCATCTGGTCTCAGTGAGCCCCATACCTCCCATTTAGTGGCCCCAGGCCTGGCACTAGAAGCAACCAGCCTTCATTCATAATTTGGCTTTTGCTGGGCACCTCCAAGCCCAGCACAAGTAGCAGCCATGTGAAGATCACTCTGTAGCTTATGCTGGTAGCCCAGGATAGAACACAGGCAGTGGCTGACGTTGCCCCAGAGCTAACATACCCAATGGACAGCTTCAGACCACATTGAAATACCACCACCCAAACACCTCCACAAGTGAGTACCAGAGCCATGATGAAGTAAGTCCTGGTCTGTATGGTGGGTCCCTACACAGCTGATCCTCCAAGACAGTCAGATGCCAGTGTTCAGTGGGCACAGACAGTGCTTGCAGCTAACCAGCCTAAGTAAATCCCTCCCACTGATGTGCCAACAGCAATCAAGACTCATTTACAAGAGAAGTGTGTACAGTCCTCACTAGGGGTGCACCTTGACAGCCCAGCTGGGGTGATTAAGGAGGCTGTGACATTGGTTCCTAAGGACACCTACAACAATAGGCTAACCTATGAAGCCTAGGAGGCATAGCAACTCTACCTAATACATAGAAACAATCACAGGAAGCAGTCAAAATGAGGAGACAAAGAAACATGCCCCAAATTAAAGAGAAGAACAAAACTCTAGGAAAAGAATTAAACAAAATGGAGCAATCAATCAGATGCAGAGTTCAAAACACTTATTAGAAGGTTGCTCAAGTAACTTGGTGAGACTTTCAAGGAACTTAAGGAGACCTCCAAGGAACTTAGTGAGAACATCAACAACATAAAAAAGTACCAGTCAGAAATGAAGGATGCACTAACTAAAATTAAGAATAATTTACAGGGAATCAATGGTAGAGTAGGTAAAGACAAAAAGCAAACCATCGATTTGGAATATAAGAAAGCATAAAACACCCAATCAGAATAGCAAAAATAAACAAGAATTCGAAAAAATGAGGATAGTGTAAGGAGCCTCTGGGACCACTTCAAGCATGCCAATGTCTGCATCATAGGGGTGCCAGAAAGAGAAGAGAGAAAGCAAGAAATTAAAAACCTATCTGAAACAATAATGACAGGATACTTCTCTAACTTGGTGAAGGAAACAGACATACAAGTCCAGGCAGCACAGAGAATCCCAAACAAGTTGAACCCAAAGGTCCACACCAAGACACATCAATCATCAAAATGCCAAAAGTTAAATACAAAGAGAGAATCTTAAAAGTAGCAAGAGAAAAGCAGTCCGTTATCTACAAAGGAGCTCCCATAAGACTGTCAGCTGATTTCTCAAAAGAAATTTTGCAGGGCAGAAATGAGTGGCAAGAGATATTCAAGGTGATGAAAAGCAATGACCTACAACCTAGATTACTCTATCCTGCAAAGCTATCTTTAGAATTGAGGGACATATCTAGAGTTTCCCAGGCAAGAAAAAAGCTAAAAAAGTTCATTACCACCAAGCCAGTATTATATGAAATGTTGAAGGGTTTTTGTTTTTTTTTTAAGAAGAAGAAGACTAAAAATATGAGTAATAAAATGGCAATTAATACATATCTATGAACAATTGAATTTATAAACAAAACGGGCAAGCAGAAAAGAAACAGACTCCTAGATACTGAGAACTTTTTGTTTTTTGCTAGATGGGCAGGGGCTGGGGGAATGTGTGAAAAAGATGAAAGAATTAAGAAGTACAAATTGGTTGTTACACTGATTAACCTCAAAGGAAAGGTGGGAGGGAGGGCGGGATAAGATAAATCAAAGAACTTCTATGCATATATGCAGAACCAATGGACACCGACAATAGTGTGGGGAAGGTAGGAGGGGAGTGAAATTGAGGAGGAGTGGGTCAATGGGGACAAAAGGGGGGGACATCTGTAATGCATTCAACAATAAAGATGAGTTAAAAATAATATTAGCTTCTTGCCCTGGCAGGTTTGACTCAGTGGTTAGAGCGTCAGCCTGTGGTCCAGAAAAACCCAGGTTTGGTTCCCACTAAGAGCATGTACCTTGGTTGCAGTTTGTCCCCAGCCCCGGATGGGGTTGTGTGAGTGGCAGCCAGTTGATGTGTGTCTCTCACATCGATGTTTTTCTCTCTCTCTTAATACCTCTCTCCCTCTCGCTCTATGTGAAGATGAATTCAAAAGTGTCCTCGGGTGAGGATAAAAAGAAAATTAGCTTCTTAAGTCTAAAAGAAAAGAAAAATGCAGAAAAAGAATAAAAAGACAGAGAAAGGGTATGGTCAGTTTAACTGAACCAGCATTGTCTACCTAGGAGAAACAATACTCTATTGACAAGCATTAGCAGCACAGGGCATTTGATTCTCTGAGAAAAAAAATAAAAAAAGAGGTCTGATTGACTTTGGTTCTCTCCCTATGCCAGCAGTGAGGACTTTTTAAATTGTTTTTTTCAAGAACCATTTCAGAAAATTTGCAGGCTAGATTTTTTTTTGTTATTCAAAATGACAACTTTTATTAAATTCTGTGTAAAAAAACAACAACAAAAAAAAAACACAAAAAACTCTTCCTTCAAAGTTAAGATTACAAACAAAATAACAGGCACTGTTTTTAGTACTAACCTGTTAAAATGTGGACACATTCAAGAAGTAGGAACAAAATGAGAGGTGCTTATTAGTATTTCTATCAGGAAAGTTTTTATCTAGTTCTAGATTACCACTTAGATGACCTTAAATTTCCTAGAAAAAAGAACTTTGAGTTCATTTTCTATCTTGCTTATATGAAATCACAGGACACCTCTGAACATAAGTATTCTTTGCTCCTTAACAGTGAATTGAAATTTTGTCCAGCTGCAAGATGAATTTCAAGCTGTGTAATTTTACAAGACAATATACCCTTGAGGTACTTTGAAACTGTCAGTTTCTGAATGATTTACTAGTGTGTGAGTCCTGAGAGCTAGCCCTGTGTTTTGTGAACCACATGCCACCACCCATACCAACCCCTGCCAACAAATCAAACATCTTTCTGCAAAAACAAAACAAAACCTCTGGACATTATTACACTAAAAATGTAATCTAAAGAATACTCTTTATAAAACATAGAAGTACCCAGGGGGGAAAAACACCATTTCATTTTCTAATAATTTTCCTTTGATGAGTATTCAACTGACATTTATCAAAAGCCAAAATAACCAACAAAAATAGTCTATGCTTTTCTTTATGAGAATGAAGTCAAATACCCACCCTGGCAAAGTGCTCATTTCCAAGAAGTGTTTGCAGAAGGATGGGAAGTTGCTTTTCCAGATGAAGCTTAAGACAGAGTTGGGTCAGCTCCTCCTGGTCCAGAAAGCCTGTCCCTGTGGTGTCACAGCTGCTGTAGACTTCCCTGAGCTGTGAAACATAGTGGTCCTCTTCTTCTTCATCCATCCCATAGCAGGCTGTACATGACATAGGAAGAACCAAAAACAATGGTACACTATTACTGTCATACCACACACATTCTCTCACTGTTATGCTCCCATGCAGTGTTGCCCAGGCACAGGGTAGAGGCTAAGTGTGTAAGCAAAGGACATCCGGAGCCCTCTCAGGTTTAAGTGGGACTGGGAGGAATCACCTCCACCTTTGAAGAACATGCCAAAAACATGTCACTAGAGAGCCAATCCTCCTTCACAAGAAGCAGAAATTTTTATTCTGTATATAAAAAACAGAATAATCAGGAAAAAAGATAAATATGAAGAGAACTAAAATCATCAAAAATTTCACCATGTAAAAAATCATTATTACTATTTTGGCAAATATACATTCTATTTTTCTTTGCACAAATAACAAGTATGGTTTTTCCCTTACAAATATGAGAAAAGTAGAAATTCCAATGAAAAAGGATTTTAATAAACCACTAAAGAAGAAAAATATATGCTTAATAACTATCTAAATATTTTCAAATTAAAACAAAGAGATACTATTTGTGATTGTCAATTATCAATGAAAATTTCATTGCTAACTAAGGCTCTAAGAGAAGGGTATTCTCACACATTCCTGGAAGAAGTGACAATAATGTTTAGTCCTGATGGTTTCGCTCAGTGGTTAGAGCATTAGCCTGAGGAAAAAAAGGGTCTCAGGTTTGATTCCCAGTCAAGGGCATATACCTGGGCTGCAAGTTTGATCCCTGGCCCCAGTCGGGGTCATGTGGGAGGCAACCAATAGATGTGTCTCATATCAATGTTTCTCCCTCTCTTCCCCTCTCTCCCTTCCACTCTATCTGGAATGCAATGGAAAAGTATCCTTGGTTGAGAATTAATAAATAAATAATAAATAAATAAATATTTAGAGAGGGTATTTTGTCTAAATATCAATAAATTTTAAAATATTTTAATTATCTGACTTATTTATTTTACAAAAAGAAATTTCACAATTCATTAAAAAATTTCTTTATACTAAAGAAAACAATGCTATAGACAAAGATATAAGTTTATCAGACTACTATTTATATAAAGGCAGAAAAGAAAATAGTCTAGACTACCCAACAAAAGAAGTTTGCTAAATTGTAGTGTATTTATATGGCATAATAAAAAATAATCTTGAAAGTCACATTTCTAAAAAATATACAATAGCATAGGAAATATAGTTAATAAAATAAAAAGGCAGGATGTCTACTGTTTATAATAACAATAAGTAATATACTTACTGTTCAATATACATATAACTCATTTATGTTTCACAATAGTAGTATCAAAAAACTGCAACTTTCGCCCTGGCCAGTTTGGCTCAGTGGTTAGAGCGTCGACCTGCGGTCCTGTGAGGCCCGGGTTCGGTTCCCGCTAAGGGCGCGTACCTCAGTTGCAGTTTGTCCCCGGCCCTGGTTGGTCGTGAGGGTGGCAGCCACTCGATGTGTCCCTTTCACATCGATGTTTCTCTCTCTCTCTCTCTCTCTCTCTCTCTCTCTGTTCCTGTCTCTCCCTCCCACTCTACCTGAACAAAAAAGGAAAAATGTCCTCGGGTGAGGATTAAGAAAATAAAAAATAAAAAAAAATAAAAAAACTGCAACTTTCTGAGTAAAATACACAGAGTGGGGCAAAGTAGGTTTACAGTTGTTTGTATGAAAAATAATACAATACTTAATTTAAAAATAATACAAGCCCCTGGCCGGTTTGGCTCAGCGGATGGAGCGTCAGCCTGCGGTCCAGAGAGACCCAGGTTCGGTTCCTGTTAGGAGCGCGTGCCTCGGTTACGGTTTGTCCCCGGCCCTGGTTGGTCGTGCAGGTGGTAGCCACTCGATGTGTCCCTTTCACGTCGATGTTTCTCTCTCTCTCTCTCTCTTCCTCTCCCACCCTCCCACTCTGTCTGAACAAAAAGTGTAAAAATGTCCTCGGGTGAGGATAAATAAATAAGTAAAATACAAGAATAAACCCTGTGTTTCACATGTTCACAACTGTAAACCTATTTTTGCCAATCCTATATTCAAAAAAGAGAAAATAAAAAATACACCAAAATACTAAGGAATGACTTTGTCTTATTGTATAAAATTTTCAAATTTATATATTTTATGTTTCTTCAAACTTATTATATAACAAGCAGAATACTTTATAACAAAAAATATTATGAAAACCTGAAAAATATTAAGCTCCTAACAGTATTGGGATGAACCATACAAAATTATTATTATTTGAGCATTTTAACCTGCAAATATAGCAACTGGACAGAGTTCAGCTTGTTATATGAACCCAGGACCTAAGTGACACTTATGAAAAGAACAAATATGATAAGTAAAAATATATGGAAAACCAACAAACTCATTAATAATTAAATAAAGCACAAACACAAAACAATGAAGTAACAACTCTTCCTATTTATAGCATACATTCATTGAAGAACATTATAAAGATGTAATTTTAAAATGGTGGATGGGAAGGTATGGTAAGAGTTGGTAAAAGGGAGAAATCCAAGATAGTGGCAGATTAGGTAGAAGCTACACTAACCTCCTCCCAGGACTAAAATGGAATCACAAATAAATTATAGAAAAATCATCCTGAAAAACTAACTGAAGATTAAATAGAGCAAAGCTTTGTAACAAACAACTTTCAGAAAAAATCCTCGTTAAGGGTGGAAATCTGTGACCCTGTGGCTATGTGTGGTGATGCAGGGGAATACGACATTTGGCTTGGTTGGCATCTGGGCAGGGGCCCCACCCAGTGGGGGCTAGCTATGATGAAAGTTTGGAGGGCCAAGTGGAAACAATTTTTTTTATCCATTCCTGATTAAAGTGAGGCAAGTCAGGCAGAGCTGAAGCATTGGAAAAGGAAAGTTCCCAACCCTCTCCTACAAACTACAGGCACCACACACAACACAAATCTGTTCAAACCGTCCTGGATGAACTCTGGAAATACCACAGAGCCCAATTCAATGTGGGAAGGGAAAACATCTTCAAATGAACAATCAAGGTGCAGGACCCAAAGATGACCCAATGGCTGGATTAGAAAGGCCCCAGCAGCCAGACTGCCTGGGGCTCTGCCTTATCATGCTTCATTTGGGTTGCCCAAGGCCAGGCAAGGAAAGTGACTAATATTGGCTTGCCACACAGAATCTCCCAGAATTGACACACCGAGAGGACAGATTCAACATCAGAGCAAAATCCAGAGAGCAATACAAATAGCAGACCCAAATTTTCTTTCTTTCTTATCCTTTTTCTTTCATTTCTCTTGTTTTTCTCATTCCTTTTATTCTTTTTTCTCTTTTCTTTTTTAATTTTAATTTTTCTTATTTTATTTTTTCTCTTCCTTTTCCCTTTTTTTGCTACGCTATATTTTAATTTAACCACTATTACTATTATTTTGAAACTTACTATTATTATTTTTTCTTTTTTATTCATATTCTACTTTTCTTTCTTAATCTCTTTTTTCAGTATCACTTTATATTTTTATTTAATTAATTTATTTTTGTTACAGATGTTTTTCCTTTTTACCCTACTGATACCCTCCTCCCCCACCCTCCCCACCCTGTCCGCAGCTTTGTTGTCCATGTCCATTGTTCATGCATACATGCATATAAGTTCTGTGGTTCATCTCTCCCACACCACCCTCTCTTTTGGGGATTGTCAGTCTGTACTCCACTTCCACGTCTCTGGGATTACCCCATATTATTTTTTATTTTAACCTCTAATTCTTCTGATTATGTATTTTTAGTATCTTTTTTCCTTTTTAGTTTTTCTTACTGTTTTATTTTTCATGTTGCTTTTGGTTCATACTTGTTTTATCTTCTGTTGCACTGTCAGTACCTGTACAACCACATGGTCATGGTTGAGTCTCATAGTCAGCAAGCCTGAGGGCTAAGCCCACCCATGAACAGGGGAAAAACAATCAAGACTAAAATACAACCAATGAGCCCACATAACTCATATAAGGGCATTCCCAGAGTCACCAACTCAAAAGATCAAGGAGAGTATACCACTGGGACTCACAAGAAGGGCATCCCACCAAGACAGGGAGGCATAGCAATCTTATCAAATACAAAGAAACAAACACAGAGGCCCTAAATAAGAGTGTAGGAGGAATCTCTAAAAAGAAACCTAAATGAAATTGAGGGAAAAAGTTTAATAGAAACAGAGTATAAACTAATGGTTTTTAGAATGTTCACCACCATAAAAAATACATAGAAATCATGAAAAAAAAAAAAAAAAAAACACGGTTGGAAATGAATACCTGAAATAATAAATACACTGAATGAAATTAACAGTAAATTAGAAGAGTCATAACCCAATCAGCAAATTAGAAGACAAGGTAGAAAAAAAATCACTCAATGAGAGCAGAAAAATAAAAAAATAAAAATACTTTAAGAGCATGAGGACAGTTAAAGGAAACTTAGGGGCAACATAAAACAGAACAACATATAGATCATAGGGGTACCACAGGAAGAAGAAAATGAGTAAGGAATAGAGAAAACTGTTAGAAGAAATAGTAAAAAAACAAAAACAAAAACAACAAAACTCTCCTAATCTGTTGAATAAAAAGTAACACAAGTTCAGGAAGCACAAGAGAGTCCCAATCGAGATAAACCTACAGACCTATACCAAGACACATCATAATTCAAATGTTAAAGACAAAGATGGACTCTTAAGGGCAACAAGAGAGAGATGGATAACTGCAAGGGAGCTCCCACATGGCTGTCAGTTGATTTCTCAACAAAAACATGACAGGCCAGAAGGGCATGGCATAAAGTATTCAAAGTAAGATCTGAAAACAAGACTACTCTATCCAGATGGTAAGTGAAAGGGAGCTTTCCAGACAGTTTATTACAACCAAACCAACATCGCAAAATATGTTAAACGGACATCTTTAAAAAGAAAAAGAAAAAGAGAGGGAGAAAGCAAAATAGGTATAAAGAAAAAAAAAAGGCCAACAAATCATCAAACAAGTGCTGGTGAGGGTGTGAAGAAAAGGGGACT